ATACGGCTCTGTTCCTCCAGGGATTCTATAAATTCGTCGCAACGTTGTTCCCACGCGACGTACTCTTCTCTTGTATTGAGTTGGGTAGCTTGCTCACTCAAATCTCCCTCCATATTGTCACTTATGCTGTTAGATTGACTAATAGCACGGTGCACCTAAATCTTGTTATTTTTATATCATTTACTTGGTCACGTGACATTACATTGATGATCACCGCTCGAACATGTTGTGACATGTCGTATCATGTCCTTGAAAAATTTCTTAAATAACGCTAACAAAGCAGATATACTTTGATGAAATTGCAATTGCTGCATTTTTGCGGGTGTTGTATCATATTACATTGATGATGATGTCATCGCCAAAATATGTTAATGTCCTTGAAAAAATTTCTTATATTACGCTGACAAGGTCATATTGAAACTTGCAATTTTGCTGACGCTGCAATTTGCGGTGTATGATTACATTAATGTCATCACCGGATGTATCAAAATCTTTTATTGCAAGGGGTGCACTTTTACACGTGTTAAATTGATGATGTCATCGCCAAAATATGTTAATGTCCTTGAAAAAATTTCTTATATTACGTTGACAAAGCAGTTATATATATTTGCAAAAGTTGCATTTTTTTTTACTGTATTAGATTACATTGATGTCATCACCGGATGCGTCTTTTATTGTAAGGGGTGCACTTTTGTACATGTTAAAATGATGATGTCATCGCGAAACATGTTGCGACATGTTTTCGCAAACATTGCATTTTTACTATTGTTGAGTGGGAACGAAAATATAAATACTGACGGGGATCGCGCAAAGTCAGTCTGTGTAAAATGCCTAACCGTAAATGTCTATCGATCGAGCAATTGGTTCGCAACCGGGAACTTGGATTCCGAAATGTGTTAACACGTAATACTACTCGTTGTCCGGTTTGTTCGAAGAAACAAATGAGTGATATTGAATATGTGGAGGATTGTGCAGTATTGTCAACGATTTTAACATGTCAGTGCTGTATACTGGATTTCCTTATTTACAAAGGAGATGCTGGAAAGAGTAAACAAAGGTTTTCGGATGCATACAGTAGCGTTACATAGAGGGGATAAGGTTTGAAAGCTGCTCGGAAGGTTCGTACGTTCTGTAAGTATTTCATTTATATCTGCTTGTGAAAAAGTTTTCTCTATAGATGACTTATTCGTTTATTTTTTTCATTACAGCTCGTCGTCACATATAAATTTGGGAGGCCGATAACATTATAATTATATTCGGAGGAGAAGTTAATTAAATCATAAAAATACATATACATGTATACATATACATATAAATAAATATATACTGATTACTTCGTTGTCAGAATTATTTGTTTCCTTCCTTCCTTCCTTATTCGCGCGGTATCGTGTTACATTGTGCTCTTGTTAAAATAGAATAAAAAACTATGTTCTGTTAGAGTATACTTTTAGAAAAAATACTTCAAATTATTACTATAAACCATACATATTATATAAATATGTATATATAAATCTTTGCGTGCGAAAAGCTGCGTTCGAGAAGAAGATAAAATTGCGTTGGAAAAAGATGCATAAGAGCGAGAGACAGATAGTAAGTATACACTGTGAGCATACATGGTAAGTATAGCGCGCGATTGAGATCGCGTCCTGCGGCGGGGACCGGTGGCGGACCGCGCTTAGCGGCGGCGGCGACGGCGGCGGCGGTTCGCGCGCGCGATGGCGGCCGGAGGGAACTGCCCGGCGGATACTGACCCCGCGTTATCCGATAACGCACCGCGATGATACCACGCGATGATACCACAGTATACCACGCCTCTACGGGCCCCGTAATTCCCTTCTCTCCCCGCGACGTTATCCTCGCACACCCCCTGAAGTCATCCCTCACCCCGTGACATTACCTCCCATGATGTCACCCCCTTCTCCTCCCCTGTGACATTACCACTTGTGACATCATCCCCCTCCCGAACCCTGTGAAGTGTCCCCCTCACCCTGTGACGTCATCCTCTCGCCCTGTTACGTCACTATTTATGACGTCATCCCCCTCCCGCCCCTGTAACATCATCCCTTCACCCTGTGACGTCACCTCCCCCCTGTGCCGTCACTATTTATGACGTTATCCCCCTCCCACGCCCTGTGACGTCATCCCCCTCAACCTGTGACGTCACCATTTATGACGTCATCCCCTCCCCTTCCCCTGTGACGTCACCCCTCGCCGCGGG